ACGCCGGTTTCAGAGGGGGGTGGGTGGGTGGTGGCTGTGCCAGCGTGGGGGCTGGCGGCCTGGCTGAGGGGCGTCTGGCAAATCCCTCCCCAATTCCGATGTCCCCCAGGGGCTGGATGAGGCCGTCAGGGATGGTAGAAGGCGTCACATGCCACTCGGGCATGGGAGCACTCGAGCTGTTGTCCCCATCTCCTCCTTGCATGCAGCCGGATTCCCTTGCTCCGCGTGCGAGCCCACCGCTCAGCATGGTTTCCCCTCCTCACTACCCTCCCTTTCTCTGCCCAGACTTGGCCGTCGACGTTCCTGGTCACGGGACGGTGGTGGTCGACATCGGCTACGGTGGCACTTTCTATGCCTTTCTCAGCGCCGAGCAGCTGGGCCTCGATGTGTGCTCTTCAAAGACCAGAGACCTCGTCAGTGCGGCGAGCGCGGTGACGGAAGCGGTGAAGAAACAGGTATGGCAGCGCGCTGTGGTGCCCCAGTGTGTTCGGGGTGACTGCGCCAGACTGAGGCCCTTTATTCAGCCAGTCCCATCCTTCCAGCCCCATGTTGAATTTCAGAGTCCTCCTCCAGCCTCATAAGGACATGAGAAGGAGTTTGCTTTCCTGCTGCTGCGTCTGTCTCTGTTTCTGGAGAAGCAGAGGTGGAAATGCAGCAGTGGGGCCTTGTCCCCTTCCTCTGGTCTCTTGAGGAAGCTGTGCTGCGCGTACTGCTGACTGCCCAACTGCTGCACGCGTTGGTGAGCCTGTCTGTGCTGTTCCCAGTTCAAGCTTCATCACCCAGAAAGTGAAGACCTGGCTTTCCTCTACGGCACCATACTGACAGATGGGAAAGATGCCTTTAGCGAGGAGCCCACCACCAACATCTGTGTGTTTGCCGATGAGCAGGTACAGAAACGGGCTCTTCTCAGACACACAAGGCACCACCTTCTTCCCTTCTTACATCCTCTGCAGAGACGAGGGGCGGTTCTGCTTCTTCTCATTTTGGGCAGTGATCATTGCTTCTGCTACAGTGATGGCTCTGCAGAGCTGAGTGTCACTTAACATATGCAGTTTTAGCTCCTAATGACAGAAGTACTTCTGCACATCTTAGATGGTGGCATTTTATAAAGGTTCATACCCGTGCCCTCTAGCTAGGAATTTCCCAGGAGTTCAGGGGCTGAGGTGGGATCCCAACAGACATAGTGCATGTTCTTAAAGTCCTCATCTAGGGAACAGCTGCTAGGGATCAAGAGAGCAGGGGAGAAAAGAGGGGGTGTAAACTTTTATCCTTGTCTGCCGTGGATAAGGTATCACATAAATATCGGGGGAAGTTTTGGTTGGACTTCCCAGCAGTGAGGAGTGTGGAGCATTGGAACAGATCTCGGAAGCTGGCCAATGCTGTATTTTTGGAGGTTCTAAAAACCAGGCTGGCCAGCAGCCCTGGTCCTACCTCAACGTGTGAGAATGGGGAAGGTGCCCTCTGCCCCTCTCAGTCCTTTTGCTATGGTGCTGGGAAGCTTTCAAGCACTCCCTAAATAGCCTCAATATTTATTAGATCCCTCATCCCTACTAGTTTGCCAAAGCTGATCGCAATCCAAAAGTACCCCAAACCTGCTTATTTTGTCTTCTCATTTGTGAAGTATCTGGATTCTGTACAAACCCCTGGGCTAGGCGGATTTCCCTCAAGCGCAGTATAAAGGTGGCAGAGAGAACTGAGGGGAGCAATATTGTTTTCTGTTAAAACCCAAAATACTAGAGCTGGTTCATCTTCTCTTCTGAATGTAGGTTGACCGAAGCCCAACAGGTTCGGGTGTGACAGCCCGCATCGCCTTGCAGTACCATAAGGGACTCATCCAGCTGAATCAGACCAGAACCTTTCGGAGCAGTACCACGGGGTCCTTGTTCACCGGGAAGGCAGTGCAGGCAAGTGGCTTGTGCTGGACTTTCCCTCTGTCTTGAGGATTGCTGGAAAAGTGCTGTTGCCTTGACTCAGTGGAGAAGCAGAAAAGCCTTTCTGTGCCTGGGGAAGGGCATATGGAAGGAGAGAGGTGCCTGGGGGTCTTGCCTTCCCCGCAAGCCTCACGCTTCAAGATTTTTTATTAGGGAAGCAAGTGACAGTAAGACCTTGTTCTGCTGGGTGGCTTCCCTTCAAATCCTCCCTCAGCCATCGGGAAAGGACTGGGCACCTTGGCAGCTTGTCGGCCTCCTTTGAGGCAAATCCAGGCTGTGGCAGTGCAGGGGCTCACGAGCTCAGAGCAGGGGCAGCAGCAGTTGTGCAGGTGTGGAGCTCGTGCAGGCAAGGTGAGGCGGTAAAAGGGCTGCTGCGCACTTTGGGATGTACCTGGGCAGGGCAGAGTGCTCGGTGAGGGGTGTCTCTGCCTAAGTGCCAGGTAACGCCGGCATTCCGTGGGGTTGGGAGAGCAGAAAACCTGTCCGCCTCTGTCCTGATCCTAATCCCTCTGCAGGAAGCCAAGTTTGGGAAGTACAACGCTGTTGTCGTGGAAGTCTCAGGAGAAGCCTTTTACACTGGTACAGCCACCTTCACTGTCGAAGAGGAGGACCCGCTGAAATACGGCTTCTTCTTCAAGTGACCCGAGCCACTGGGCAGCGGCAAAGTCTCGCTGATGGTGCTGCTCTTCTCCTGCCCACGCATTCGTGTTCTGCTTCTCCACACGGCTCGTTGCGATATGCCAGAGCAACAGGAACAGCCTTTGGTGGTGTGACAGCATCTGCCGTGTTTCAAGATAACAGGCCGTGTTCCCCTGTTGTGATTAGCATATTGGGTGCAATGTGATTAGCATATATGGGCTGCTCTGAGAAGCCATAATCTTTTTCTTCTTTTATTTCAATAATTATTCACAGAAAATGGAGCTGATCTTGGAGAGCTGTCTTCAAATTTACGTGCCTTCTCTACATCTGCAAATTACTAATTTCAAAGCCAGCTTCCTATTAAACACCAGCTGAAGACACTGCCTTTCTCATTTTCACTCCCGGAGCTCATTTCCAGGACTCTGCCGAGTGTACCATGGCTGTTGGTTTGGATTGCCTGCTCTTCCTCAGTGCCTCCCGCTCAGCCGGCCGTGCTGCTCTGTCTCATGCCCCGGCTTCCCCTGCCTGCCCTGCTCAGGCCTGTCCAGACGCCCCCTTCGTCGTTGCACTCGCTTGACCCCTGCCAGAGCCCTCCTGCGTCCTGGGGCTGGATGCAGGTGCTCAGAACTTCCTACTGTCCCTGCTGCGTGTCCAGGTTATGCTGCTTCCCTAAACCTTCCTCTCTTGCTTAACTTGGACCATTGGCTGCAAATAACCCCATGGTTAACTTTCAACAGGAGTAGCTCTATTCGAAAGTCTGATCCACTGTGACCTTTGATTGCAAAATTATTTACTGATGGTTTTGTCTCAGCCCTGGGGCAGCTTGCGCAGCAGAGCGCGGTCAATGTGTGCTTTGCCAGAGTCCGGCGAGGGAGGGTTGCCGGTGGAAAAACCAAACCAAGCCCTGGGCTGTAGGCAGGCTTTTGCAGTGGCAGAAGCAGAGCTTCAGACCACTTGGGGCCTGTAATTTTCACTGTGGCTCTGGACAAAATGGTGCTAGTTTATTGAAGACACTCATGGGAGTGTGCCTTGTTAAAATGAGAGATGAAAATGAGAATGATCATTTCCCAGTAGCTCATGCAGCAGAAGGGAGCGAGTCGCGCTGGAGAGCTTGGAAAAGGTTGGCATGGAGTAGCCTGAGAGAAATCTCTCCTGTCAAATTGAAAATTATAACTTTGGAACAGGAAGAAACAAAAATCCCCACGTTCAGAAAGTGGCTGCGCTGCCAGCGGAGGTTTTCTAGGCTGGCATCAGGGCTCTTGCTCCCAGCTTTCCTGCAACCCCCAGGTAAATCCTGTACAGCCTCTAGTCCGGGGGAGCAAGGGGCGACACACACATCCTCCGCGCTTACAGGAGCAAACTCATCCGCGTGTTTCTCGCTTCTGGGCATCTCCCTTGTGATCAGCCCCCCAGCCTGGCTCCCGAGGAAGAGCTGGGGCAGCAAGGCATGAAGCCCAGCACAGAAAGGTCGGAAGCTCTTCAGCCGTTAATTGGGTCGCAGCCTTCATTATCTATTCACTATCCCCATCCCTAAGAAATTTTTGACGTAGGGACAGGCAGCTCCAGCATGGCTGAGAGCGAGGGGCCAGGGTCCTGCTGCCCATGTGGGTGTCCCTGGCCTCACCCCTCAACCCCTCAGCTTGTGAGACCCCGGGTCCCGGCCTGCCGGAGTGGCTGGGGGTAGCTGGCCCCTGTCCCTTCGTGAGGGGCTGCAGGGCTGTGCGGGGAGAGGGGCCATGAGGGGAGAGGGGCCATGAGGGGAGAGGGCTGTGAGGGGAGAGCAGCCAGGAGGGCAGAGGGGCTGTGAGGGGACAGGGGCTGTGTGGGGAGAGGGGCCATGAGGG